GGCTCAGTGGCTACAAGGCAAGAGGCAGCAAGTGTTTTGTGAGAGAAACAGAACTTAAACCAAAGAAAAGATTCTGGAATAAAAGGTATATTTTATTTAAAGAAATAAGAGACAAATTTAATTTACTGAAGTTAAGACAGGAGAAAAGACTTCTCTAACTTCTAACCTTCTTAAGGACAGACACAATTATCTCCAGTCCACTATCTTCTTCCATATCTTTCAGAGACCAAGATCGGTCTTTCAACTCTTGAAAAGGTAGATTTTTGTAACCTACATCACTGGGTTGCCTATTTAATTAAAACTGCTTGTGATTATGCTTACTGAGCCTAATGCCAAATTAAAAACCTGGGAGATTCTAGATACTGTCTAAACTGAGCTGAGCGCAGTATTGCAGACATCAACGGCTGTCTTAAGATCTGGTGAGCGAGCCGACAGCTCTGCTTTAATCCCTCCCTTTTAGAGAAAAAAAAGCAGAGAAAATTGGATTCATGATGTGTAACATTTTAGCTTTTAAATGGAGGAAATAAGCATCTCTTCCCTCCTAGGTGAGCCGCATCAGCCTTTACACAATGTTCTAAAAGGCCCTTTACCAAAACAATAGCTGTGCACTATCTCCTAATCTTTGCAAAGCAGACAGATGATTATAGCAGTGAAATAAGAACGAAGGATAGGGAAGTGGTACGGCATAAAGGACGCGAAGATTAACTGGATATGTGAAATTTGTCAAGCTGTTATCTCAAATTCTGTTGGTGGCAGCAGCATAATAGGCAGCATGAACTGTGCTTAAATCCCATCAGGAGCTAATCTTATTTTTCAGAAAACGAGTAAAATAAGAAAATAAAAGATAAACAGACTTCAGTAAAGTGCATGAACATGTGCTCACAGTGCAGAAATATACCATAGAGCATAATTCACTTCTATCCCCCAATAAAAAATAAAAGGATTTATAGCCAAAAAAGATTCCTTAGAGAAATGTTATCATTTTAGAAAAGTTTGCCAACTTTTTTGCAGATGTATAAAGTGGACTGATGGGGTGTTATTGTAATATTACCGTGCATATTCTTACATTTTCATCTGAGCTTTAGTTTAGTTTTCCAATGTATGTCTTAAAACCATCTCAGTGCTGCCCTAAGTGGTTAAACTGTTGATATTGTAGTTGAAGTTTTCTATTGGTTTAAACGATGCATGCTTTGAAACATGTATCAAGAAATGCATAAATGTACCAATCCATCCATCCATCTATTTTCTGTCACGCTTATCCACAGCGTAGTCGCGAAGGGTGCTGGTGCCTATCTCCAGCTGTCTACGGGCGAGAGGCGGGTTCACCCTGGACAGGTCGCCCATCGCAGGACAACACAGAGACAAACAGGACAAACAACCATTCACACACACAGTCACACCTAAGGAAAATTTAGAGAAGTAATTTGAGCACTGGGCACTCAAATTACACACATTAAAAGACCTATTTACGTTGCAATGACCGGTGTCTCTCTGCTAATTAGCCTAGCTGCCACTTTCTCTCATCCAGACCAATTCCCTGCGTAGCTACCTAAACTGTCTGCTATTAGGGGTGAGAGGAATTTATTCATGTTTATTATCAGTTTTACTGTTTAACTAGGCTCCATCTACAGAGATGCTTTACTCTTATGAGGCCAGTGTTTGACATTTCTATTTTAGTTATGTGCATAATAAAATTTGACCCACACGTTTTTCTGTCTCAAAAGAGCTTTTTAGTGCAGCCTTAATATCTAGCATCATAACAGCATGTACAACACTTCATTTGGGTTTCTCTCAGAAAGGTGTTAGTCTAAAGGCACAGTTAACGCAGATATTGCCCCGCCCCTTCCACAGACACTCAGCTGTACATCTCCAAAATTGTAAGTGGCCGCAGACAGTGCCGCAGACAGGAGGTCTCTGATTGGTCAAATCTACATCTGCTCTACACTATGGGTATTTCCTGTTTGGTACCTCACCGGCTTGTTTTGTTTGTATGACCGCAATTGTGGAACACAACTCGTGAAGTAGGACCAGCTAGAAGAGCGAGGTGCACAAGAACGCTGGGACCCTTTTTCCACCTGGATCCCCGCTCTTTTTCCCCCTCATGTCCCTCCGTTGTCACACAAACTTGGCCCCACTTCCTCACCACCTCAGCCGTATCTCGACCCACAGCTAGTTCTTGATTGTCCCTCTTGCGTTGTGGCGTGGAATAACATAGCGCAGACCCCGCTTCAAAACTGGCCATAAATCAAAAATAACTGCGTCATACCTGCGACAAGCTCACTGCGACACACTGCTGCGGGAGTATAACCAGCCCTTAGCAGCAAGCTGACCCCTCAGCTGAGGTCATGGACAGTAAAGGCTGAAGTAGCAAATCAGTGTGAAAGAGCTGTATAAATCTTCAACAAATTAGTGTTGTTCTTTTCAATAATCTTGCAAAATATATTTTACTTAATAAACTACTATCATTTGAAGCTTACTAAAAAACTAAATAAAAAAGAAAGAAACACATATAACTAAATTTCTTCGGCAAAATTAACTCAACTGTTCAACATCAAAACCTTTTAATGGTAAGTTTTGTGACCATAAACCCTCCTTAAGGATCAACTTAATTCTGTTTTTTGATAGTCTAAAGGCTTCATTCAAGTTCATACACTCAGACCTTGATTTCACACGTGCCAATTATTCCTGCAGCTCCGGACCAATTAACTGCTGAACCTGTGCCCTGATGCATACCTCCACTAATCAATCAATTATCTAATTACATGAATATTTTATATTAGCTTTTAGAAATGCCAATTAGCACGGTCAGCCCATAAAATATTGCATTTTAAAGAGACAGCTCCACAACCACACAACACATTTTCCTTTAATTAGAAGCATTTCTGAGCATTAATTTGCATAAACTAAACTAACTCCCCTCTATGAAGGTTGGAATCTTAAAAATAAGTCATCAGAATAAAAATATGCTATCTAAAGACTGATGTTAAGGGTCATCTGTTTTTTAGACAGATGTGCCTCTGGTGTTGGTGTAATTTTGGTCCCCTGGAGAAAATAATAATGGAAAATAAATCTTCAATGGCTTTAAATAGCTGAAAACTGAAGATAGGCAAAAAAAAACAAAGCGATTTCATCCTTCTACAGAATATCATAAGCTGTTGCAGTTGAGATTTCAGGAGCAGATTTAACCTTTGCCCCAGGAAAGTTTTTTTTTTTTTTTTTTTTTTTTTTTTCACTACCGCTTTTCTAAAATGTCTGCAAAGGTAAATCCCTCAAAGACTCCTTCATTCTTTGCCACACACAAAAACTGAAGCCCACCAGGTACGCCCTTCTGTTACCCAATCTCCCCTAAACAGCTCACCGAACTGCTCAGACCTGCTCCCACCAAAGCTGCAATTATGAGGGCTGCTTGGAACGCCTTCGGCACTTGCCCCTCTATTCAATTCTCTCCTTTCTAATTACCACTGCCCTGGGACAGGTGAGAAGTCAGGCCTGATACAATCTGCTCGCTTTACCTGTAGCCAAAACACATACACATACTCACACAAACATCTTCAGCGCGAACACCAAGACACACACTTAAAGGCACCTGGGGTAATCTTCTATTCTAATAGTAATCTTTTAAAAAATGTTGGGAATTTGGTTTTAGACCAGGCTGTGTTTAGATTAGAAAGCTTGGCAGTTTGGCACAGTTACAGGGGGACATGTTTACAGAGTGGACCACCTTCTTCAATAAATAATGACTTTCACAGGGATTTATTTATATCATGATTAGACCATAAATGTGGACCTAAATTTCCATAGGTGCAAGTTCTTTATGAAAAAATTTATCTGACAGTGCTACCCAACCACTTGTCACTCTGTGTATAAAGAGAAATGGGTGCATGTAGATCAAGTCAGGGCATTCCAGCTTACCCTGTTAGTCTGTTGTCAGGGTACATTTCATAAGGTCAATTAATAATTTCCTAAAAAAACAGCAGATCAATTTCAACAACAAATGAGATCTGGATAAAATAAAGTCTGACATCAGTCCTTCTTTGATGCAAAGTTAAGTGCTGATTTGCGAGTGGATTGCATTGGAAGTGTTGAAAGATATGCAGCATATCCTGAATGTGTTATTCTGGTCCGCAGGTCATCAGTCATCCACAGACCTCGATTCGACTCATTACTCCCACAGGTGACAACAAGCACTTAACAGCATGAAAACAGTGTGTTTATAATGACCTCCACCCTGCAAATATTCTAAGTGTAAAAAGGACCATAGCCATGATAATCATTTAACTCTGGAAGTTATCAAGGATCCAGCTGCACCATCAAGTAAATCTAGTTAGCTACAGATCCTGACATCATGTACTTGAAAGCAAAAAGCTAAAACTTTACTTCTATCCGGACTGTTTTAGAGTAATCTGTGCTTTTTCTCCTCAGGCTCCAAAACATGCAAGAAGAGAGCATGTGACTCCATAGTAACCTCTTTCCTCAGAACTGAAGCTGCTGAAGACTTGGAATTAAAGAAACAAGATTTTAATCTTCACTTCACGGACCACAAAAATGGAGTTATGCATAAGTGAGCCTCTCCTGCATGGTGGAGACATGCAGTGGTTATTGACAGCTTGCATTAATGTACTGAGCAGTCACCTGTGAGTATTTCTCAACTGCCAGCCGTCTCCACCCACCCTCCCAATACAACAGCGCAATAACAACTCTCTCCTCCTCCTTTGTGCTCCTTATCTTTCCATATCTTTCTGCGGTTCAATTCTTTGCCGCTGGCGCAAGTCTTAACCCCGCTGCTAAGCCGCTGATTAATGAGTAGGGTACTTCTTCATTCGTCTCCCCTTTTTCCTTTAGTTGCACCACTTATTTTTTCTTCCCTCCACTATCTTAGACTTATTCAAATTCTGTGTTTCTGACACACCCGGCACCTCAAGAATAAGGAAACAGAAAAAGAGAAATAGGTGACTAAATCAGAGATTGACTTTCTGGTCACAAAAAAAAAAAAACCTCACCAAATGCAGCCACTTTGATGAGGATGGCGTTTAAGTCGGATGCGATCATCTCAGAAAGCAGCGACTCTTGGTCTCGGCGCCACAGGTAGGCCAGGGGCTGCAAGCCAAGTCGCTGGCATCTATAAAACAATTGAAAGCGTTGCAAGATTTAATATAACAATCTGCATACTGTAGAAGAGTTTCATAGCCCCATCTTGGAATAGCACTGTCCAAAAGCTGTCACCATGATTTGAGTTCACACCTCATTAAAGGGAAAAAAACGCCCCATTTAAAGACTTCTGTTAAAAGATGAGACCAAATTTGTGTAAAACAACAAGCAGGAGGTAACAGGAGCCAAAATGTCTCCTCAAATGACTGATCATAATTGTTACTAAGTCATGGGGGCTTAGTTAGGCCCTGTCCATAAGGTGATACGATTAAAAGTAAGAACAAAGCTATTTTGATCATTTAATCTGTGTACCCAGATGGACCCTTCGTTTTCATAGAGCATAAACTGTTGTTTTTCCAAAGTGGGTCACAGAGTGAACCCACTTTGCCAGTTTCATATTTCAGTGTTTTCATGCGAGCTACATCTTTTTTGTAAAGATGACATTGTAGGTTAACCTTCTTTTGTTACCAGTATGTGCCTCTTAAACACTTTTTTGCTGCTTTGACCTCACATGACTTTTCTGCATATGCCCAGTGTTTACATAGGTGGTTTGGTTGTAATTCTGTGGCCCTGTCACAGCACAACCTGAGGGTCTGGCATATGTACTACAGCTTCCTCACTGGTACTTTGCACATTCATGTGGATGCAACTTTGATTCTAAGTCGTTTATGTCCGCCATTCTGTGGAGTAGGCCTTATTGGTGCCCCACACAATGCCTTTAAATTAAAGGTGATAGCTACAAGTTTAACTCCACCAAGCCAGTTAGTGGCGCAATTGAGCTTCAGTAAGTGGCACACTTGAGCTTGCTTGCTCTTTTTCTATAGTGCAATTGCTAGGTCTGATAAAGCTAATCCAACAATTAAGTCACCAGCAACCTCAGTCAGTGTCCCTCTGAGCCCCTTTGCCTCATTAAGTCAGAACCAACCCTTCTTTTTTTAGAAGAAGAAGCCATTTCTCAGCTGTATCACACAACTCTTAGGATCTGGCAATGGCACCTAATACTCCTATAGGTGTAGAATCCTTTCCCATCAATGCTGGCATCATTTACAGAGGGAAGTATTTTTATATTTTGGACGAATCACATCACATCACAACACAAATCTATAAAACACTAATTTATTTCCATGACTTTTAATGTCCCTAGGGTATAAACACAACTAAGCAGGACCAAAACTAGGGCTGCACAATGTGTGAAAAACTTTTACTATCTCATAACATTGGCAAATGTTGGGATGATGAAACGGATTGCAATAAATACATAACATAACATATAAAATGGTCATGTTTTTTCTGCTTTAGGCTTACTGCAAACAGAGCAGAGACAGAGAGAAGTCTATACAGCTATTATTAGAAATCAACAATGTTTTATTGGAGAAAGTTCTTTATTGCTAATTTTTGCAGATTTGAAAATAAAATATTTAGATTTCCTTGATAACGTTATCATCCTAAAACCTTTTTCTGGTTACAATAAGTAAATCCCTGTCTACTGTCATAGAATGCTTTAATGTTAAGCTCATATTGATTGCAGTTCAAGTAGGTCTTTGTGATATTAAGTACAGTGATACTACAATAACAATAATTATTTATAACAACAATTGTATCTACCTTACATGCCAACCACTTGTATAAATGTGATGCTAGAAATGCCACTATCAAAATATGCATAATTTGCTAAACTCTTCTGGTACAGTAATTAGAACTGAGAGTGCTAATAAGATAAGACAGAATAGCATTTCTGCAACAAATGTTGTGGTGTGGTGGAATTTAAAAACAGGTTGAATATGTGAAGAAGCAGGATCCATGTTGTTGTGAGTCTGCTTCTGCTCAACACCAAGAGAATCCTGTTAGGTTCAGGATACATGGGAGCTGTCCATGTATTCTTCCTTCTGCCTGCGGAAGGACAGAGCATAAAGGTCCTACTAATTGACAGAGCATAAAGGTCCTTTCCAGCCAAAAAAGCAAAGCACGAGGTAAATAATTTTAACAGATGGTTTAAATACAGGTTAATTAAATATTGGGTAATAAAAGATTGTTTTTGTGTTGCTCTGTTCACAGGAACAGCTAAGAGACCATGCTAGGGAAAAACTTGGAATGAAAAAATACTTTATTGACAGTCAAACATAAGCATGTCTTAAGTTTTTCTCCAATCCAAATGCAAAAAATGTTTTTCTTTATTGCAAAAATCATGAATATCATCACATTTTCTGTTTAATTCCTCTTCTCTTGACAAGAACCATAAACACTAAGATGAAACTAGCCTAAATAAAAATAGAATAAACAAAACAAAAAGTGTTTACGTGTTTAAACAGGACACTGCCTTAGTTTAGTTTAGACACACAAGTGAGGTAAACTGGATCTTGTACCATTTTCCAATGGTGGACCACAGAATGTGCCTCACTGAGAAGCAACTAAGCTGTGCTGTTATAAATCTCCAGTGTTTGACTTACACATTTTCCACACGGACCCTCTGGTAATCGGACAGAATGGCTCCTACTGACACCGCCTCAATGGCCTCTTTTTCCTGTCAGGACAAACAGACAATGAAAACTATTAATGTAGGCATGTGCAAAACACCTAGCTTTACATCTCACAGGTGCACAAAGGTTTTTTTAAGAATATAACCAACAACTTTTTTTTTTTTCCTTAGTGATTGAAACTCATTAGATAGATACATTACAAACAGCGTCATATTTTTCAAGCATATTCGCTATGAGCCTCTAGGAAAATACATTAAACCAATAAAAAAAAAAAAATTATTACAGAGATGTTAAAACTTACACAGACACAAACACAGTGGTAGCTAAGTGGAAGGAAAAACTGTAGTAGAAAAAACGTGCACAAAGAACAGGGATGACTGTAGCTTTGAAAAAAATTAGATGCAAAGACCATTTTAAAGTCTGGGGAGGCTGACAAAGCGAGGAGTGCAAGAAAAACTAGAGATTTAAAAGTCAACTCAGACAGATGTATCCAGAACATTGGCTACAACTGTGGATATCCTTTTATAAAGACAGAGAAAACTTATAAGAGCATTGATCGGGATGACGAGTGACAGAAACAGGCTGTAGTTCATTGATCCTCTTCCAATGAAGCCAATTTTTTATTTCAGTTGAAAATCAATGTTTCAGATTATGGAGGAAGAATGGAGAGGCACAGAATACAGGCTGTATTTAGTTTCCAGTTGGTGACGATTTAGTCATCTGCTGATGTTGGACTATTGTTTTTTATTAGGTTTAAAATCAGTGGAGATATTTAATGTTTTTCTTATCCTTCCCTTTGATGATAAGCTTTATGGAGAAGCTGAATATATTTCCCTGCAGGGCTTGGTACCTGCTCCCACGACCAAAAGCAACCACACCTTTATTAACTATGGTATCACTCTGTTGGATTGCCTAGAAAGCTAATCTAACCAAAGAAGCATGAAGATTTAATCTTTTGAAGCCACAAGAGTTTAAGTTTTTGATCATACTCTAAAAAGGCAGACTTAATTGCTGTTTATATCATATTCACACTTTAAAAAACTGTGTGACAATGATGCAATTGAGAGATGCTGTCGCAGCTATGAGATGTGTTCAATCTTCTCAAAGGAAAACAGGCTTTATCTGGAGTGACACTCAGACACAGAGGCATACTATCACAAGCAAGAGCTACATGCTGATGGATATGCATCCTCATAAATGCCTCCACGGCCCCCCCCTCTTCTACCCACACACACCTGCAGATTCATTAGAACATTACATGGGCTGTAATTAGAATGAAAGGCAAAGATAGGAGCAGTGGAGGGATGCCCAAGTCTCCAGTAAATTACCTTGTAGCCATTATCAATTTCCCTGGCTACTGGTCCTTAAGATAACCCCCCCTCCATTGCCTCTCCCTCTCCCTGTGGTCCCTTCCTGCAATTTTTCTCTGCCTGATAAACATGCTGATTAAAGCGAACACGGTGTAAACCTTTGATACTTTCCTAAATGAAATCCATGCCCTGCCTGGGGCTTGATGCTGAGCTCAGACACAGAAGCAAACACGCGTGCACTGCTCCACATAGGCGTGTCAGCTAATCAGATAAAGGATGCGCCCTGTGCACATGCACCGCACTAACTGTGGAACAGAAGATGTGAGGTATTAAGCCGAACACATACAGTCAAACACAGACATATCTTAAGAAGGATTTTCTTCAAGTTCTGAAATCTCTCCAGACAGTCCAGGACCAGAACATACATTAGAGTCAATCCCATTGCACAGTGACAGTAATTAAGTCAGACTGATAACATTTCAGGCCAGCATAGAGGGAAAGGTGGCTGCAGGCGGTGTCATGTAATTCTAGGTAAGCCGAGAGGAAAACACCACTCTAATACAATGATAACCTTTAGCCTAAATGCAACTGTCACTCTTTAAAGAGGCAAATTGGGAGGCAAAGAGTGGAATTAGAGAGGACAGGCAGAAAGCTGAGAAGATTCACAAAGGAGAGAGTTTGTAAAGGAGCGTGCAAAATCATCACCAATTTAGTCCCTGGGCTTTAAACTTGGCAGGACCTGACAAGAGTATCAGAGCGCTGGAGCAACAACAAATAACAGCTTCTTTGTGTATTTTAGTCCGTCTGCCTCTATCCTCTTGCTTTCTCTCTCAGGAGGCAGGCGGTTATGGTTACTTGGACCTCTAAGGTTCAACTCTGCCTTGTCTAATTAAATGACACCTCTTTTTTTCCAGGGCTCTTATTACATCCCATCACACAGCCTACTCTCCACTAATTATAACATGAGATGAATTCCTTACACATCCCTTTTTGTTTGCAGTGGGGACTTTTGCTACTGGAGCATTTGGCAATGGCTGCAGGAAATGATTATTTTGGGAAATGGCTTTGTTTTTGTCACCATTACACAAGCGCCATTAGACAGGCTGGAAAGAAGGGGGATAGTGCTGATCTGGAGATTATTTTACAAAATCGATTCCAAGACATAGGTGGAATTCTTTTGAATAGGGATTAGATTACGAAGGATTGATGTTTTCTGAATACATACTGCTATGAAAAAAATACGTTTTGGGATAGTTAAAATAATATAAATATTATTGGCCAATTTGAAAAGGTCTTTGCAAATGCAAACCACAAAATTTTGTTCATTTAATGTGATTTTATGGGATACAGCAACACAAAGTAGTGCATAATTGTACAAACAGAGTGGATGGAGGTCTAAGTTAAAAGCAATTTTCAACTTTAGCCAATTGTTTATTTTATTATATATAGTTTAAGAATTTGGGCCATTCTAACGTATAAATATCGTTTGATCTGAGCCATTACATTGTTGCTGTAGCTGCTTGTTTTTTTTCTAAAAGGTGAGGCGCACCACAGACTCAATTCTACTGTAGTCCCTTTCTATTGTTCTTCTTGGATCGCCCTGTAGCTCATTCCATTCTCTAACCATGACCAACTTCTCCAAATCATTATGCTGACACTGCCTGTCTATGGTGGTGATGAGCAATTCTAGTTTTCTGTCACAGATGGCCTATTTATTAAAAGCAAATAAGTTCCGTTTTGGTATATGCAGCCCCAAAAGCTACAGGTTCATGCAGATACATTTAGCTTGACACCTTAGCTCTCCAGCTATTTAAGCTACGGAAGCAGCTTTGATCGATCGGAAAACAAGAGCCAGATTTTGCACCCCATATGCCTTAAAGTGTTGATAACATGGTATTGCACTTTTCTAGTATGTTTTTGTAACCCAAAACATTAATACCAATGATCAATGTAATAATTTCAAGGGCGTCCGCACAAAACAGCTTTTATTAAAAAACCTCTACCATACAGAGGACTCTAGCGCTGCTCATTGAATGAGGGAAAAAAGGGGAGTGACGTATGAGAACAACTTAGTTTTCATGAATTAAGATAAAGTATGCCTCATGTTGGGTAGCAGCTTCATGCTTAAGCCTCCATGTGTCAAGATCGCAGCTGCAGTCACTGATCTAATTAATCAAGTCATTCACCTGCTGTTCCCGTCATCACCAAAAACTTGGCCATTTAAAATTTTGGGCCAAAAATGACTAAAAAGTGCAATTTCGGTTTGCGGCCGATAGACATTTAACATGAAACTAAATGCACGCAACTAGTGATGATGCAACAAATAGGTTGTCAAGTGGCCAAAGAAAAGGACTCAAGCAAGAGAGTGCATGGCAGAGCAGAGTTTGTCAGAGTTGAGTCCACGGCAGATAGGATTTGAGTAATATTGGTCTCACTGAGCACTCAGGTCGGTCGCACAAAAACATCACCATCACCTTTCTGAAAATGAGAACAATGTGGCACAGAAAAGGAAACTGACACCAAGAATACCGACTCTGTCTGTGGCGGAAAGGTTTGAAAATTTATTAATTAAAGTATTTCTACAAAGGTAAAGGGCATAACAAAATAATCCCAGTGCTAAACAAATATTGAAGTTGCTAGGTATTCCTTTAACATTATAGTAGAATAATTTCTTGTAACAGCTGTGGAGGATTTATATGAAAACCATGTTAAAGGTATAGTGGAGCAATATGTTTTTCTCGAGAGGATCATCAAAATAAGTGGTCCTCCTAATATTAAATCATTCTGGTGATATGTTTACGTAGGGCCATCCTATGTGCTTCAGTTTCAGACAGTCATTGAAGCCTGCCCTAACGCGGTTGTTTGAAAATGGCCGAGGGTCATAAGACAAAAAGTGTCTACAGTATGAAGTGTATGAGAAGAAGAGAAAGGCCTCAGAAGAGAGAAACAAGACCAAAGTGTTTTTGGGAGATTCTTTCATGGGACTGGGTACACTGAAAGCACAGGTCGGGCTTCTCACTGATGCATCGGTTGCTAAGTTTCTACTCGACAGGTAAAGTTTCACATGCTATTTGGAGAAATCATTTCACATCACTTCTAGTAAGAAGAGGAGAAATTGGCTCCTGCATGCTCTCGCACGGATTTATTAGGTGTTCCCTCTCGAGAGCGGATACACTGTTGTGCATGTGCATTTATGTTTTAAGTGGACAGGTTAGGTCTTTTAAAAAAAATTGAAAATCTTCCACTATTCCTTTAATTAAAAGTATAATATACTGATTCATATTTTATAAACTGGTTATAAACACTAGCTGTACCAGAGGCGTAAAAGGATGTGTTTCCCCACCATGTGTTTTCTACTGGGTCTGGTTCGGTCATATTAGCCATCACCTTCCAGCTCAGAGTCAGACACTGTCCGCTCTGGATAGTTCTGATCTGTAAGCTGTGATGCCTCCATATTCCTCAGCATCACTACCCTCTCCTGAGCATATACCGGCTGATGGTTCAACCACACAAACCATTTCCAGACAAGATGTTGTGGAACAACCATCAATGTTTCCATCCATCTCATTATAGAATGCTGAGCTAGCTGCAAAAGTGTTCTTCCTCTAACGTCACCAGATGAGATGGGTTTTTAAAAGCTATTAATCACAGTGCTCCTGAGGGGCTACTAAATGGACATTTGTGTCAAAAATAAGCCCCTTTAATTAAGAATAACTCGAAACAACTTGGTATGT